TCTCAAGAAATAAGCTAGGATATGCTAACATGGAAAGAGGAAATCTCACAGTGCCTCAAACCTGGATGAATAACTATGGGCATCTCAAAAATGCTGAGCGCAAGAGGAAGAGTTACCCCTAATTGTGTATCAAATCGTGAGTAGTCATCCCTGAAATTATATAATACAATAATATTAGTCAGACAGAGCAGGTTGTATTTACATATTCTGGAACACATACCCGTGAAAACTAAAAAAAGAAATAGAGGTTACGGATATGAAAGAGATCAGGGTAGTATATGGAAGAGGTGGAGGAAGGAAAGTAAAGAAAAATGATGCAGCTTTATTTTTAAAGATTAAAGAGAAAATAGAGGGAGAGAAGACAGAAAAGAGAAGGAGAGAGAGAGAGAGAGAGAGAGAGAGAGAGAGAGAATCGAGAACAATAGATTACACCAGACATTGGCCTCTGACCTCCACAAACATGCACATGTAAATGCACCTGCACATATGTGAATGTACACAAACATTAACACACACAGACATCATACACACAAAAGTAAAAAGAAAAACTAAAAAAGAAAAGCCTACATTTGTAAACCTCACGTTTATAATTATTCTAAAACTAAAAGTTTACTAAAAAGTCGATGATTTGAACTAAGACACATATTAAAGTGAATGCTCTGGGCTCTGGTCTTAGTTCCTCTGGTTTGAGGGGAAAATTAATATCCCTGTGACAATGTTCTCCTGAATATCAGATATCATAGCACCCCTCCTCAATGATTATTAACTCTAAGTTCAATCTTCCATTCATTGTACCTAGATTTCTAATCTTTCCCTTCCTCCTAACAAATGTCCTGATCATTTCTGGAACAATAATGTGATGTCTGGATTTATAGTAGGTATGTTTGACCATAAAATATTTCGGCTGCAAGTTCTCAGCAGGAAAAAAGGAACGCATGTTGTAAAACAAAGCATGATGATTTTAAAGCACACCATCACTTTATATATAAGCAACTACTAAGCAAGATAACCAATTAAATTAGGACACAATTTTGTCTTAGCTCATATATTTCTTATTTTTTTAAATTATGCTTTCTGAAAGATTTCCTTACACTTATTTTGGCATTAATGTTTATCATTATATCATTTCGCATATACATAAAACAGACATAAACAAACTGTAAAGTATTATTAGACTAAATAAAATGTGTAACAAATGGTATAAAATACTATCAGAACTTCAGGTACAAGTTTTTTAAATCAGTTTTTGTGCTCAGAATCATGTGGGGCTCTGAATACCCTCCTTTATGTCATTAAGCTATACTGCTGTGGCACTATTTCTTAAGAGTTCTCCTCAGTATCTCTCAGGCTTTTCAGTATATAAGGCCAATGTTAAGTTTGAAGTGCATGCTCTGGCAATGACAACCACAGCACACACTGATGGTGGGACACTAAACATTACTACGTGCCTCTTGGAATCAGTGAAATGTGACAGGAAGTCCCACAGCAGCCCTGAACTGATTTCCTTCAGAGTCATTTTCCACCGTGGAAGAGAAACCTGTCTTTTCAAACCTGTTTTTCTGGCTTTTGCTACGACTCATAACCTAAACCAATTTCAGTCGAAACAAGAGTTTTAAAACTATGTTTTCATAAATGCATTCCTTCCTCAGCATATCTCACTCTACTCCGGTTTCACTAGTGAATCAGGTACAAATTCCTTCTTTACCTCTTAAAGTAATATTTTCTAATACAATTCTCCAGACCTCATCCTTCACTCCAGGTTTTCTGAAACAAATTCATAAATATGCCTCTGAAGCTGTACTCAAAGGACACACACAACAAACACACACACACCTAGTACATACTTACATATACATACACACATACATACACACACAGCACATACACGCACACATAGCACATACACACAGGACATACATACACACACAGCATATACATACACACATACATATAAACACACACAACAATACATACACAATACATATATACAAACCCACACATACATACAAACACACAGCACATACTGCAAACCCACACACATACATACAAACCCACACAGCACATACTTCAAACACACATACTTTGTATAAAATATGATTCTAAAATATGAAGCATCATATATTTCTACCTGCAATTTTTCATATATCATATATCAATATGACTTATAAAGCCTTCCTCAACTGACAATTGATTAGTTATATTTCTTTGGCTTGTGAAAATAAACTAGAATTGGTGGCAAATGATAAAAAATAAAGCAAAACATAAAAATCAGAAATGTGAAGCAAATTTCTAGTCTAGAAAAGGTTTGGGAGAAATTAAAGGGTACTTTGTACTGCTTGTTACACATTTATGGGGAAAATACATTTCCTTTTGCTAGAAAATGAAGTACAAGTTGTTGGTGACAACCATTTATTAAGAAATTTCCTTCTGTGATAAAGTGATGATTTTTCCACCACAGGTAAATTATTCAGCACACTTCATTTGAATCCGTGTTTGAGCCAGTGATGAAGTTATCAATTTTACCATTTTCCCTAGTCTGTCCTGCTATTATCATTGCCTGAGATTCCGGTACCCATAGCAACAGCCACTGTTTTAGACATCATTTACCCAAGCAACAGAGGATGGCCAGTGACTGACAGTCATCCAGCTGTGTGTCTCAGGGTGGTACGTGCCAGGCTTAGAGACCTAGTAATATCTTACTACTAAGTGTTTAAAGTTCAGTTACCAAGGAATTGAGTAGGTGGCACACCTCAGAAAAGTTGCCTTTCTGTCAGGGGTGTGACAGGGTAGGAAAATAAGGAAACTTTCAGTAAAGGCCAAAGTCTAGATATTAGAAGGTAAAATGGGAGCTTCTTTCACCAGGCTAAACATTTCTAACCTATTTTCATTTCTGTCTCACATATTCCAGAGTCTGTTTGTGACTACAAAAACTGAGGCAAAGGGCAGGGACTTAGAACTTGGGTGTTTTACTCTCAGCAAAACAAAGATAAAATCAGCGGGGCTGGAATCTAGAGGGACGACTCAGCAGCAAAGAGCAAACAGTGGTCATGCGCAGGACCCTGTCAGCTCCCAGCACCCATGTCTGTTATCACACAATTATCTGCTACTCCAGCTTCAGAGGGGCTGATGCTATTTTGGGTTTTTGTGAACATCCATGTGCTCTCTCTCTCTCTCTCTCTCTCTCTCTCTCTCTCTCTCTCTCTCTCTCTCTCTCACACACACACACACACACACACACACAGAGGAAACTAAAAATGAACTATGAACTTTAAAAAAGGAACAATTGAGTTGCTGCTGTGCTAAGATTTCCCTGTCAGGGATTTATTTTAAAGAAAAGCTGCAAAATGTCACCTGACTGACACAGTAGCTTGTAATGGGCACTGGCGTCTAATCACTTTTCTTTTGAATTCTGTATATAAGGAAATACCACTTTTTCAGGTAAAATCAAAGTCTGTATATAGGTCGTAATGAGTGTCTCTTCTTTTTCCTGGAAAGTCAATCACAAGAAAGTGATAGATGGGACAAAGAAGGCGCTCTGTCAGTCAAGACAGAGCAAGTTTGGGGTGAGCTATAGATCCCAGTAAATAGACTTCCACAGAAAAACGATTTAGTTCACAAATTCCAGGGCACTGTGTCCAGCAAGCATGCACGCTTCTCTCCCTAGGCTTTGAAATAAGCTGGGACTGCAGGTAAAGCAAGTATGCGTTAGTAACCACCCCTCATTTACTGTGCCTCAAGAGAAGCTATTCCAATGGGAAGAAATCTGGATAAGAGTTCATTCTGGGGATTTCCAACCCTCTGATCTTCCCAGGCAACCAATGCAATTTAGGTTATGGTCTGCACTGGGAGGAGAGAGGCTGAACAGAGAACTGTAATACCTTCCTGGGTGGCACCTTACTTACTGCCTCTCACAGTCTCTTCCTAATTCTAAAGGCTTCCATCATATGAGGATTTTGGCTGACATTTAGAACTCATCTCTACCCTAGGCTGGAAGGCACACCTGTAATTAAGGGAAAGGCTACAGTGCTCAGGGCTATCTTTACCAGTTGGGGGAATTTCCCTCCTTCTGGGGCTGGTTATCTGGCTGAATTCCCAGTCCACCCACACCCTCCTTCTTAACTCATTGATACTCTCAGTATAACAAGAAAAGACCACACTGGATCAGAACTAATGTTACCATCCCAATTCTCTAACTTCTCTTGTTGCCTCCCTGTAAATGCCTGCTCTTCCTACTCCCAAATATAATAATATTTTAAGTGAAAGATCTTGGACCAGCAAAGTTCCACTGTTATTTCACTTTGTTAACCTCTGGGCTGTGAAGAAGTCATTCTGGTTTTCCTTATCTATTATCATCGTTCCCCAGTGTAAGCATGTCGTAAGTGTTCTGCTATCTTTCAGGCGCTCTCACAGTCTTACCTGGAATCAGCCAATGCTAATACTCTAATATTAAGTTGATATTAAAATGAATATTAAGTCAGTTAATGGGTTTTAGGTAAAGTTGACATGATTTTAATCCGGTGGTTCTCAACCTTCCTAATGCTGCAATATTTTAATTCTGTCCCTCACATTGTGGTGACTCCCAATCATAAAATTATTTTCATTACTGTTTTATAACTGTAATTCTGCTACTGTTATAAATCATAAGATAAATATCTGATATGCAGGATATCTGATGTGTGACCTCCGAGTTTTCACTTTTACCATGTATTTGCACTTTTCCAGTGCTTAGATACCAGGGCTACACTTCACTTCACCCATCCCTCACTCTCCCCACCCCCAAACCCATTTGCTTATAGAGAAAGCTAATTTAGTCTTTTCCCGGGGGCTGTGAATATCCCTTACCTTCCACCTTCTTGAGTTCTTAGGTGCAAGGAGACCTGGATTGGGTGTAGGAAGAAACACGTGGATACACATTTTAGACCTGCAAGGGAAATTTTGTTCATTTTTTAAAGGTTAGAGTTTTATACATATGAATCAACAGGAAACAATTGTTCTGCTGAGAAACAAACAAATTTATTGGAACAAAGCCAAACAGAAACATTAGGAAAACTTCTGGAAGTTTCCATGTGAACACCTAGCTTGATGATCTGAGCAAGACCCCCCCCACCATAGCAGGGACAGTCCCAGTTCAGTCCTCCTTGGTGCTATCTGCCAGAGTGAGCTTGTCGAAGAGGTACTCAGCCAGGCGATTTTCCGGAGCCCCCATCTGACGCAAGTTGGTCAAGTAGCCACCCATCTCCTTCAGGACTTCGACCTGCTGCTGGAGAAAATGGCGCTTTAGGAGGTTGCACAGGTAGGTATCACCTTGATTGCTAGCCAGTTGGTACAGCTGTAGGAGGCTCTGGTTGAGCGTCTTCTCCAGGTGGAAAGCACACTCCATCGCCATGAGGCCATCCATCCAGTTGTGGCGGTCTTGATCAGCAATTCTCCCGAGGGTAAGGGAGCCACGGCGCTCGGTCAGCAGGTGGAAGAGTACCTCAGTACGTTCCATCCACTTCTGTGACTGACGGAGGAAGAAGAGAGCGAAGAACCCCAGGGCCACTTCCTCTTGATTGCAGAAGTAGGCCATGGAGAGGTAGATGTAAGTGGCATACAGCTGCAGCTGGATCTGAGAGTTGATGGCAGCGATGCACTCGTTCAGGTAACTCTGAGGCATCTGTGGAACAGAATCGGCCATGGCAGCAAGAGCACTCAGACGTCGGCAGGCAGGAGCTAGTAGGCAACACCTGTTATGCGAGCGGTGGAGCTGGCGAAAGTGGCTGCTGGAGCCTCACAGTCACTTTTAGAGAGGGAGGAGGAGCTGAGGAACCAGATAGGACCAGCTCCTGGCTCTGTCCAGTCAGACTCTGAGGCAGTGCCTGAAGCCACACCCGCACGAACAGCTACCGGAAGACGGCAGTGGAGACCGCAATGGCGCCTGGTGCCTCGGGCTGTTGATCCAGGTCAAGGGTCAAGGAGCAGTGCAAAAGTGCTGTGTTCAGTAGCAACCCGGAAGGCATTGTGCTGACTGTCCAAACAATAGAACACTCAAATTTGCGAATAAACACCCAAATTCTTGTATAAATTGTGTGGATAGTAAACTTTAAGGGACGAAATTATTTCAATATCACCTAATCGACTTTGTTTCGTTAAAATAGTTGTTTTCGTGTGTGATACCATTATCTCATATCTTAAAGATTTAGTCAAGGACATGGAAAAAAAAGATTTAGTCACCTTGGCTGGTGACATCAATGTCTATATACTAATGACCTTTCTTAGGGAGAGATTAAGAGCAAGTGACTGTACATCATCACCAATGATGACACATCGGGTGTTTTTGAACAAATTAGAGCATGGAGTTCGATCCCCAGAACTTGTGGTAAAAACAGAGAAATGCTTCTCAACATTTGTTCTGTGGCCTCACTTGTGTAGTGGCATGGCCCAGCCAACACACATACATACAATACTAAAATAAAATAAAAAATAAAACAGTCAAAAATAAAAATAAAAAAATTCATGGCCTAAGGAAATAACTCAGTTATTAAGAACATATACTTCTCTTGCAGAGGATCTAAGTTTAGCTCCAAGCACTTAAGTCAGGCAGCTCACAACCATCTGGGACTCCAGTTCTAGAGGCATTTGACACTTGTGTCCACTAAAGACACCCGCTCTCTTGAGCAAATACCCCCACCTCACCCCACACACATGTACATACTTTAAAAATTAAAAATAATTCTGAAAAAAAGCAACAACAACAACAAAATGTTTTAGAGTCCAGTGTGGCGCTACATGCCTGTAATCCCAGCATTTGAGAGGCTGAAGCATGAGAAATTTATTTCAAAACCATCCTGAGCTGCTACATTCCTTGTATTCTGCAATCATCATCAGACTAAAATTTGTAAAATGCATGTTTGATTTAATAATTTTAATTATTTAAAAATAGGTCATGCAAGGATATACTGTACATGGAGCATATACTTCTACCAAGTCCTGACTCTGCCCTGTCTTGGCCTTCCCTGTCCTATTAGTCATGTTTGTTACCCTGCCCTAGACAGCTTCTGTTCTACTTTCATTTATCTGTATAAAACCTAGCCACCATAAATAAGAAAAAATATAACATATTTGTTTTCCTGAGACTGGCATAATTCACTTAATGACTATTCCAAGTTATACCTGTTTTCCTAAAAACAATACTTCAGTAATATTTATGGCTGAAAAATATTCTATTGTGTACATAAAGCACATTTTCTTTATCCATTTTTTTTTGTTCTGTAACTTGACTATTGTGAGTTCTGTCACAGGAAACATTGAAATGCAAGTAATTCTGTGATGTGATGACTTAGAGTCCTTTGGATAAATATCCAGAAGCAGTGTAACTTGGTCATATTTATTTTTTTTAGTTTTGTTAGGAACCACCATAGTGGATTTTCAAGTGGCTGGACTAGTTTAGTTTCCCTTCTGTCAATATCCTTCCTGTGTTTGTTATTTGTTTTCTTTAGATTCAATTTTATTCCAATCAGAATGGCAGTCATTAATGGAATGTTTTTATCTATCCAAAATTAAGTCCCATTTCCATTAAAAGGCACTTCCCATTTTGTCTCCTCTGCAGGCCTGCAACCGCTAAACTTTTTTGTTTCTATAGACATGCATATTATGGCTATTTTAGATAAATGGGATCATACTATATGTAGCTTTTGTGTACAGTTTCTTTCATTTGACTTTAACCTCTATCCCTTTTCATTGCTGAATAATGCTCTACTGTAAGGCTGTACTGCATTTTATCAATACTTTTCACGTTAATAGAAATCTGGGTTGTCCAGTTGCAAAGAGGAATGATGAGCAAAGGAATCAAGATCAGGCTGGTGAAACCCAGAGAGGCAGCTGACCTAAACAAGTGGGAACGCACAGACCCCAAACTGATGACTGAGAGTCCAGCATGGGACTGATCCAGACACCCCTCCCCCCCAACCTGGGTATCAGAGAAGAGGCCTCAGCAATCTATGGGACCTTGGAGAGTAGAGCAGTATTTATTCCTGGCATACAAATAGACTCTTGGAGCCTTCCACATGGAGGGATGCTCTCTCTGCCTGGACACATGGGGGAGGGCCTAGGCCCTGCCAGGGATTATATGACAGACTCTGAAAATCCCTCATGGAAGTCCATGGAGCAGAGGGGAATGAAGTAGGGTGGGGAGTTGGGAGGAGTGAGGGGCCAGAGGAGGAGGGGAGGGAGAAGGAACTGAGAGTAATAAGTGCAAAAAGGTAAATTAAAAAAGGAGAAAAAAAAAGAAATCTGGGTTGTTTTCATTTTCTGACTGTTAAGACGAATGTTGTTATGAACATTTATATACAAGTTTTTTAAAAGATGTGCGTTTCCAATTCTCTTGGTGATACATGTAGGGATGGAATAGTTAGATCATAGATTAGCTATGTTTCAGACTTTGAGAGATTGCTAGATTATTTTCCAAAGTGATTGCATCACGTACCATGCCCAGCGGCAATGTTGAGGAGTCCAACACTGTTATTAGCCTTTAAAACTTGTAGTCACATCTGTGAGGGAGAGTAGTTTCTCATTGGGAGCTTTGGTTTGCATTTCCCCAGTAACTAATGATGTTAAATGTCTCTTCATATTCTTGTTTACTATTTGCAAATCTTTGGGGAAATATTAATTCAAATCCTTTGCCTATTTTAAAAAATGAGTTGTCTTTTTTGGTTAGACTCTAAGTGTTTTGTATAATTTATGGATATGATTTACAAATATTTTCTCCTATTCAGTGAATTATTCTTTTCACTTTCTAAGTGGTCTTTTGAAATCTAAAATTTCTTAATTTTGATATATAACTTATGTGATTTTTCTTTCATCGTTTGTGCTTTTAGTGTCCTAAGAAACCATTGCCTAACCCAGAAATACAAAGATGTATTATTTAGATTTTTTCCTAAGGCTATTTAGTATCAAATTTATATTAAATTGGTTTTTGCATAGTGTATAAATTAAGAAGTTTCATTCTTTCATAAAAAAGAGGTTTCTTTTTTATCTGTGTGTGTTTGTAAGGGACATGACCAAAGAGACCAAAACAGGGCATCAGATCTGGAAGTAGAATTACAGGAAGTTCAGAGTCACTGGATGTGAGTGCTGGGAACCAAACTTTTGTTAAGAGCAATGTATATGTCCTGTCCATCTCTGCAGCCCCCAGTTCCATTTTCTAAACATGTGAATAATTAGTTGCTGATAGCACAATTTGTTGGGAAGGCTGCTCTTTCTCTACTGGGTGATCTTGGTGATCTTGGTACACTCCTGAGGAGAGAGCAATCAACCATATTTCCGGATTCTCAATTTTATTCTCTAAACCTATGCTTAAATGTATGTCTAAACACTAGACCACTGTTTTGTTTACTATAGATTTATAGTAGATTAAAAATAGGAAAGTTGTGAATCTTCCAATTATCTTTCTGTTTTAGAATTCCTTAGTCCGTTGAAATTTCTTGTGACTTTTAGGATAAATTCAACTTCTTCAGAAGAAGCAGATATCTTTTAATTAACTTAGGTCCTGGATCCTTTATATTTGTTTAATTTTTAGTCAGGGGCCAATTTTCTAAGCAGTATGACAAATAATCCCAGACTTCTGAGTAGCAACTCTCCAAAAGGAAGGAGGCAGCCATCTTTATCAAGGTTTGGAGACAAGGGAACACACCCATTGGTCATCATAAGCAAAAATACCTATCCCAAACTCCCAGACAGAGCTTGTACAAGGTAAGCATAATTGGATAGCAGTTCCCATTGGGATAAAAATATGACTTTTACTTTCTGTGACAAATGATGATTTAAAAATTAACCAAAAAATTCTTTACTGTATGTCCTTTTTAGAACGATTTTCTGAGTAACTCTACTTCTCAATGATATGAGATATTTTTTAACTGTAGTTGAAAAAATAAACTAATAATAATGCAAATGAATATTGTCCACAGAAATGCAAATGATTTGTCTGATGGAATGTAATTAATTCTTGAATCATTTTGCATCTATTCTATTTGAACATTCATTTCAGTATTTCTTATTGCCCATACACAAACCTTTTCAGTTCTCTTTTGAACAATTTTTATAACAATATTGATGTTATTCAGTAGTTTCTCATTACATTGTGCAAACTGTTCCTGACCTTGTGAAACTCTTTCTTCAGCTCCTTTGATACCTGGGATTACAGGCATGTGCCAGTACAGCTGGATCTCATTTGTAATATCATACAAGTTTCCACATTATTTAATTTTTTCCATGTACATATTTTATATTTATACAAGAGCCATGATTTTTGAGAGTAGATCAGTATTTATTCCTGGCATACAAATAGACTCTGGGAGCCCCTTCCACATGGAAGGATGGTCTCTCAGCCTGGACACGTTGGGGAGGACCTAGGCCCTTCCTGGGATGATATGACAGACTCTGAAAATCTCTCATGGAAGCCTTTACCCTCCCTGGGGAGCAGAGTAGGGATGGAGTGGGGTGGGGGGTTGGGATGACTAGGGGGCCAGGGGAAGAGGAGAAGGAAAGGGAACTGAGAGTAACATGTGTAAAAAGTTAAATTTAAAAAATTTTAAAAAGAGCCATGATTTTTAATTACCATCCTTTGGTTATAGTTTAGCACTCCTGATCCTCATACATATTCCAACAGGATCTACAGAGCTCACAAAAGTTTACTGAGTAAACTAAACACTTTTTGTGGGGTACTCATCAGAAATTTGTTTCCAGAAAACTATTTGAGGCCTAAAGGTACAGAAATCAAGGTGGTGTAAAGAATAGATTTATGGCTTGTCTGAAGCAGGGGGAAGTTAGAGATTAAAGAAGGCAGTGAAAACCAACAGAGGAAGTAAGTGGTTAGAGAGCAAGCCATGGACAGATAACTCAAAGGCAGAATGCTGTAGTCACTGTATAAAGGATGCTGGTACACACTGGGAATGGCATGGAATTAGGCATGACCAGATCCAGCTGAAAACCAAAGGAGAGGTGAGACCTTCTTGATATAGAAAG